TTTCAATGTCAAATTTCAATGAAATTGGTATAAAATAATCTAATGTTTTTTATTTATCACATCCTTTCAGTACGCTCTGATTTTAACTAGTCTTAAAAAGATGTTTTGTTTTGCACTCTCTTAGTTTTTTCACACTATGCAAATGACATTCATCTATTCATATTTTTGATCAGAATTATTTCCAAGCAGCCGCATTTGCAATGATGAAATTTATAAATAAAGCTTAATAATCCTCTTTTTTTATGCAGCCTTGTTTAACAACAGGTATGGCAAGCACAGTGGTGAATTATTCTTTAGTTCTTACAGGCTGGGAAAACTCCCGCCTTTCTTTGCTATCGCACTGAAGGGACTTTAAACTATAGGACTGTCATAACATAAAGTTCTTGCCTTTTTAAAAAAAATTTTTTAAAGGTACCATGAATGCAGTACCTGGCCCATTTAAGCATTCAAGTCGATTCAGCATAACATTTGTCTCCCAAAGGGGCAGGTTACTCTCCTCTCTTCCTCAAGGTTCAGTCCTTGGACCCTTTTATATTTTCTTTTTCCATTTTTCCATCAGATAGCATATTTGATCATTGTTTTTTTTGTACTATCACTTCTTTTTCTCTTTTAACGTCTAACCCTGATCACCGACCAGCTCACTGGCAACAGTTTTGTCTTAAACTCCAACATAACTGAGACCATAATTATCCCCTGGCATTGAAACCAATGATCATAACAATCCAGTAGTTGAGGTCTTGATGTAATATTTGATTCTGTGTTTAATTATCACTTGATTTAATATTTCTTCCAGGAAGATCTGCTATTAATATTAGATATCAGTCCTTTATTAGCCAAAAAACTATCAGATTTAATTGGTCAGTGTCTAAAATCTCTGATATTTTCAAGATTATTTCACAACTAATAGAAACACTCTGATTCTGTTAAAGATTTCTACAAATCATTGGTTAATTTTAATGGGTCAGTTGTCTGTTGTTGACCTGTGTTAGTAATATTAATTGATTAAGCCTTTCCTAACAGTCTACAGTATTAAACAAGTGATAAAAGCCGATGTGATTCACGCTAATATTATATCGGGTCAATACCGGTATCGCTCAATTCTCAATATCAGTATTGTATTGAAATGAAAAAGTTGTGTCGGGACATTAATACCATCAAATACATTTTTTTTTTACCTTATACTCTTCATACTGTATTGCATCAGAATCATACTACCGGTATATAGATTTGAACATTGGCTCCCAGTAGAGTTTAGGATCCGTTTTAAAATGTGTTTATTAAAGCTTTGTGGGTTTGTAAGCATGATTTCAGAAGATGCTCCCTACCCCCTCATTATAAGCACTGCTACTTTAGGCTTTGAATTTCTTTTGTAGCTTTTAAATAACAATAAAAAAAACCAATGGGGGGGGGGGGGCTTTTACTCTGTGGCACCTAGACGATGAAATGGTTTCCCATTAGAGATAAACATCATGTTTGTGGGCTACAGTTATCTACCTTTGGCTATCTGATGCAGGAATTCCAGATGTTTACTAGTAAATATGCTGCTGGCATCTTTATGTTTCGCTGCTTTGACTCAAAGCCAAAGCTTCTGCAATAATGACCTAATTATTGTTTTCTGCAGCCTGCTGGAGAAACATTAATCCCGGACATGGGTGTTACTTCAACCAATGTTTCTGCCTCTGTGAGAGAGACTACCTTTTAGTTGAGCCTCCCTTTAATTACTAGAAGAATGTTTATATTGTTAATCTGTCATCTGTTTTACAGCAGATGTGTGGTGATGTGGTTTCTCAGGGAATCGCATGCATATTTACTGTGTGACTTATTTTACTTTTCATGTCGAGATGTGCTCAGTTTATCAATGGTAGAAATGGTAAACTATCCTAAAGGGGTTCAGCAGCATAGCAGGGTTAAATCTTGGCTGTATTACATTTAGTTTGTCACGAATTTGGCGGCTTTCATGCGGTCACGGAGATATTGCATTCACATTCTTTGTCTTTAGTCTCCTTTTAAAGCACAACATGACCCATCTCCTTCCTCATCCATTGCTGGAGATAAAAGCCGATCATTACACTCGAGGAGGAGGCTGTTAGTCATTTGAGTTTTGTGGTCAGGTGTTGAGGTTTTCTTCAGTGGGCCAGCATTTCAGGACTGCCTCTGGTCTGGTGAAGGATTCCAGTCCGGAATGAGGATTTCTGCCCATTTAGTGGAAGACTGGGAGACCTTCAGGCATCCTAAATACACATTTGGTTGGCAGGGAAAATAGCAAGACTGATGGAAAGGAGAAACCTCGCCAAACGGAGTCAGGACTTGGTCGCAGCTTATGACCCATCCGCTTCTCACAGAGTCCAATCAAAGGCAGCGAGACAGGCCTTCCCTTTCTCAATTAACCACCATGTGACAGCCTGACATCCATCAAGCCAGCACGCTTATTTTGGAGGTCTTCTTCCAGTGTGGAGAACAGACTGACAGAGGCCGGCGTGAGGTCAGGTCTCCACGACAACTGACAGCCTCCGCCTTTTCATCTGAGCACCCTGTTTCATCCCCATGGCAGCGGAGAGGCCCCGTTTCCCAGGAGAGGAGGGCCGTCAGGGAGGGAATGTGAGCCCGAGCGAGGGTGGGAGAGGGCAAACAAGTTTAGTGCAAACACCGTAATCCAATATGGCTGCCATTGTGACGCAGCTAACAGAGGCTAAAGCTCACAACTTGGAGAGGAGATACAGTCGTGTAATGATTAACCTCAGCAGAGACCTGGAGGACAGGATATGCGCACTTGTGGGGAAACCAGAACCCGGGTTCAGGGGGTTAATGGGCGTAAGTGTCCGTGGAGCCAAAGGCCTCAGTCTGCCGGGTTGAGAGCTGTGATTCTCACTACGGATGAGAAACACAGACTCTTAAAGGTCATTTCACATCGGAGACGCATCATAAAACAGGCTTTGTTTCTGATCTAACCTCCCAAAATCGGATATTTAAGCCGTACCCTACTGGGCCGTACTTTACTGGTTTGAGGTTTTACATCTTCATGCATATTTGTTGTTAAATTTCAAAAGGATTTATTAGGAATTAACAAATTTTAAAATTTCTTAAAGTCTAAAAACTAGTTTTAAGACAGAAAATTATTTCCCTGAAGGGTGAGACTTTTTCTTTAATACAAGATTGACTTTATTGATCTCACTATGGACTAATTCCCATTTCAAGGAAGCTCTTAGTAAGACATAAGTCGGCTGCAGATAATTAGGTAATATGCAGTCAAAGAAAAAAATGGTAAATGTGCGAAAGGCGTCATTATAGGCAGCGCAGCAGATATTTTTTCTTTGCACTAAGCATAAAGCATAAGCATGTCTGTGTTTCCCTCCAGGGTTTCAGTTTTTTTCCAGGATCTTTAAAGCTGGCTTTTCCAGAGTCCATTAATGCAGGACGTAACCTTTCTGCAAAAAGTTCTATCTTCTACTATCGTGCATGGATCTGCATGCTAGCTGCCACTCTCTCTTCCTTTCTGTGTGGGAACAAACCCACTCAGCTGTGGAAAGACATCCACTTTCTTAGTGTTGTTCAATGTGTTGAGACTAAAAGAGAGTGCTTCTGCAATTAAAGAGTTGTGTTCTTTTAATTGTGAATGTATTGTAAATAGGGGGAGTATTGGCATGTGTGTTACGATACGTTGGTCACAATTACGATGTTATGATATTGCAGTATTATTATATATTGTGATATTTTACCCAGCTATCAAAATGGAATGTAAAGATAAAAAAGCAGGTGCTGTATATGTTCAGAATCCATGCTGTTTGGAGTTTCAGTCAGTCCACGTTTTCCACTATGAGTACCTCAACTACAGTAATGTTTCTGCGCCACATGGCAAAAGGGCTCCACAGCTCTATCTACCAATGAGGGGGCAGAGGTAGCCTATTTCCCCTCATTATTTTAGATTGAAAGTTTTGTTGTTTTTTTTGTTTTAAATCAACACTAGGAGCTGAAAGATCGACATAATGGCAGCCGAAAATCATGATATTGTCTGCGAATCGGTTTTGTTTACAATTCAATTCAGTTTCTTTATATAGCACCAATTCACAACACATGTCATCTCAAGGCCCTTTACAGAGACAATTCATCCAGATTATCCAGTCAAATTGATTCAAAGTTTTCAATCTTAGGAAAACTAGCTGATTGCATCGATTAATTGACTCGAAGGCAATCCCTCACACTAAGAATGCTTGTAGTGACAGTGGAGAGGAAAAACTCCCTTTAACAGGAAGAAACCTCCAGCAGAACCAGAGTCGATGTGAGCGGCCATCTGCCGAGGCCCCTTAAACACACCCCTGATTGTAAATGCAGTAAATTTTTTAATAGGCAGAAAGTTAGAGGGTGGTCGTTTTTTAGCTGGATTTGTGTAGATCATTATTATTTTGCAAATGTATTCATCTGTCAATATTTTTTTTTCTTCAATGAATTGATTAATAATCAGATTGCTAAAGGTTCCTTTAAAAAGACTTTTTACGAAATGAAACCAGGTGAAACTAAATCTTTTCCACTTGAGGAGTTCTGGATAGAGCGTATAGAAAGACGAAAAAGTTTTTTTTTAATCTTAAATGCAAAATGTTTACATTTACATGAGGTGGGTTGCTGTGTCAGCTAAAGACACATTTTAGAATCTCTAAACTCCAGTTAGCAATTAATAGATAACTAAATAAGTCAGTAAAAGTATTTTTCTTTGAATTGGCCTTTACGTGCCTGTCTTCTCTGATTCATTAGTTTATTCAGCAGCAGGGCCTTCAGATCACCTTAAGCACATGCATGGCCACTCCCTCAGTTTGCTATTAATTGTTAATGTTTGTTTGAATTGTTAATGTTTCCTTTTGTTCAACTTGAAACTTGTGAAACGTTTGCATGATAATGTAGAAAGTGAGATCATATCAGACTCCAGAGTGGTACCTAAATAATCGTCATCTGCCTTAAAAACTCTTATATTGGTTGATTTAACACTTTTTTCTTGTTATTTTTTTCAGGTCTCAACTACTTCATCTCTCCCCGCTGTGACTTTCCTACCCATCATCCTTTTCCCGATCCCCTTTCCTCCTCTCTGTAGCCTCCCCCCTGCTCTCCCACCTCCCCTCTTTTTCACCACTCATCTGCATCAGCTTCCAAGATAGATTCCCTCAGGAGCAAGGTTGATCTGCTCAAGCTGCCGTTGGCTCTCTCCACCAAGTCTATCTCTGAGCGCAAGAGCCAGCTGGGAGGAGCCGGCGAGAGGCGCAGCACGGGTGGAGGAGGCGGGGCTCGTACAGCCCGCTCACCGCCGACCCGAGACATGGACAACGAGTCACAGTACTCGGGCTACTCGTACAAGTCGTCTCACTCCCGAAGCTCCAGAAAGCACAGGTGGGTGAAAGAAGTCAAATATTGAGAACTACTCAGATGTGTTTTTATTTAGTTCTTCTGGTCAAATTTAGGGAAAAACAACCCCCAAAATACGCAGTTTGGTTAAAAGATTATTTATATGAAGAAGCAGGACTTTTTGATCCAAATATAAATATTTAATCTGAATTAATTAAAGATAAACTGCAGACCAAATGAATGTGGATCAAAACTCGTGTGTTTCCAGCTTATTTATTTTCATTACACTGTCACTAGTACAGAGCAACAAAATGAACTCCCTGCATTTAACCCATCCCCTTGGGGAGCAGTGGGTTGCCATTGTGCGTTGCCCAGGTAGCAGTGTGGGTTTTGCTCAGGGACCCAGAGTGGCAGGATTCAAAGCTCTATGCCGTCACCAAAAAGGCCGGACTCCCCCATTAAAAAATTGGGAGAGGCAGCCTAGATGTTACGTCATTTATTGCTCTTTTTTGCTCTTCGAATAGAATAAACAAGGTCTCGCTTTATAGCTTAAACAGTTTTTTTCTGCACAATACCTTTCCTATTACCCAACTGGTATTTATAGTTTCTTAATACAAGGTAAATCCGTTGAATAATTTGTATGGGAGCTCTTTTGCCCGGCTGTGTTTCCTGGACGGGGCCGCCTGTGAAGCTGGTTTACAGTTACCTTTTGTATCTCTGCTTCTGTCTCCTTGAACCCCAGTTGGCCTCGGCAGATGGCCGCTCACACTGAGCCTGGTTCTGCTGGAGGTTTCTTCCTGTTAAAAGGGAGTTTTTCCTCTCTGGGTGCAGTAAAGATAACTGGAGAAATGTCGAAGGTAGTGGTCATAAAGGTTCAGTCATGCTGCATATTGTAGGTGCTTCCCTGCTGCCACAGACCTGACTTAAAGGAATGGGTGATTAACCGACTCCTGCAGCACTCCATCGCTGCTGAGGAGGTAATCCAATCATGTATAACAGGTCTGCTGGAGCAGAAAAGTCCTGATGAGTGTGCTGCAGAATGGATCAAACTTAATGTATAGCCACAGCGTGGGTTGTTTCTCATCCAAAAGAGAAGTTTTACTCTTACTTTCGCAAAAAAGCTAAATGAATATAAATTTTCCCTGCATGTTGGCACTGTTTTCCCATCAAACTTTATTTAATCTCTTCTGTGACAATCGTTCTATCACCGTTTAAATTTTATTCAGTGATATTATGATGCAGCTGAGACAAAAAAAAGGAGAGAAAACTCAGTTTCTCTGTTAAACTTTCTGTATCCTTGGCTTTAGGGATCGGAGGGACCGGCACCGCTCCAAGAGCCGAGACAGCAGCAGCCGTGGAGACAAATCGGTGACCATCCAGACGCCAGGAGAACCGCTGCTGGATGCAGAGTCCACCCGAGGAGATGACAGGGTCAGCCTTGCTCAAACATCTCGTTTTATTTTAAAGAAGTTGCCATAAATGGTCAAAGTTTAACCTCAGGAATCATTCATGCTGATTAATCCGACACTTGTAGCCTGGATAGAAGTTTATCAGATTCTAAACACAGTTCTGCTTTAGCCCAGGGTTACCCTGCAGTCTTATCTACCTCTCAGAGAAGCCATGACCACGCAGCTGTCTGCCTTCATAACAAAGACCTGTTGACAGACTTCAGCAAAGTGGGCCACAGGAGTGGGCTCTTCAGCTCCATCAGCGGCTGAATTGTGTTTTGTTGGAGCAGTCATTCATTTGGTTTCAGTCTCTGTCAGCAGAGACAGAGCAGGTGTTGACATTTCGTCCAACAGAGCCTCTAAATACAGAAGACAAATCACTTAGAGTGTAGAGGCTGGTGTTTGTCTCTGGATAAACTGAAAAGGCTTTATTTAAATAGCAGACAGGGTCAATAGAAACCTAACCGCCACTTTTTATGGCAAAAAGACATTCAGGGCTTTGTTCTTTTTGACCAAAAATAAAGATAAAAGTCATTTTCTTTATTCCAGATCTTGGATTTAAGGACTTTTTTCCTGAAATTAAAAAAATAATGAGTGTATTTAAGGCTCCAGGTGTGTTACCAATATGATCAGAGAAATCTCTGTCCCTGTGACGCAGGACGATAACTGGGGGGAGACCACCACTGTCGTCACTGGGACCTCGGAGCACAGCATCTCAAATGAGGACCTCACCCGCCTCACCAAAGATTTGGAGGAGTCGACGCCGCTGGAGTGCAAACGCTTCATTGGCCCGGCGCTGGGAGGCTGTCTAAGCTTCTTCGCTCTGGTCACGCCGCTAGCCTTCCTCATCCTGCCGCAGGTCCTGTGGCGAGATGCCCTGGAGCCCTGCGGGACTCCCTGTGAGGGCCTTTACGTCTCTCTCGCCTTCAAGCTCCTAGTCCTGCTTATTTCCTCCTGGGCGCTGTTCCTCCGCCCTCCCAGAGCCACCCTCCCACGTTTCTTCGTCTTCCGCTGCCTGCTGATGGTGCTGGTGTTCCTGTTCGTGGCGTCGTACTGGCTCTTCTACGGCGTACGGGTGCTGGAGCCCAGAGAGCGGGACTACCGGGGGATCGTGGAGTACGCCGCCTCGCTGGTGGACGCCCTGCTCTTCATCCAGTACCTTGCTCTGGTGCTGCTGGAGGTGCGACACCTGCAGCCGGCTTTTTGCCTTAAGGTGGTCCGGAGCACGGATGGAGCCAGCAAGTTTTACAACGTTGGGCATCTCAGGTGAGTGACTGATCCTGAAAACTGCTTCTTAATACAACTAGCTTGATGCTAAGGTTTCATTCTGTTTGTTTAGAGGTAGCTAGAGTATTTTTTACTCAGATAAAAGTATAAAGAAATGACTCAACAAAGAGGAAAAAAGTATTTGGATGAAAAAAACACTTGAGTACTGAGTAATTACTGGATCATCGCATCTTATTTAATGTTTAGAAACAATGCGGTCTGACTATATGTGCAAATTCTTTTTTATTTTTTTAAAGAGTAAAACTTGAGTAAAAATTACAGTATTACCAAAAAAATACAAATTCCTGCACAATTTTGAAAATTTTTTCCAAATAAATATTTTCAAAATAAAATGTTTTCTTACTGTGATTAATATATGAATACATAGGAGCAGATCAAAGAGCTTCCACAATGCAAAAATGATCCAGAAATAAGTCAACCTTAATTTACCCTTAATTTGAGCAGCTAAATAAGATGATTTGCTAAAGGAGTGAGTATTTTTTACTCATAAAATAAGATAATTAGATAATATGCACTTCAAATGCAATGTTTTTTTCCTATTTTAGATGTGTTTGTTTCTTGTTCCATTGGCAAAGTTTCACACTTACCTTCTCAATTCAAGAAAAAACAAACTTATTTTAAGAAAAAATGACTTGTTGAGATTTCCGTTTTTTTCCAGTGCACTTCTGTCTGATCTCTGAATAGCTCAGCTAACTCACACTGGACTGAAGAGGCAGAAGTTGTAATCAAACAGGAGTAGCAATAATTCACAAATATTTTACTCAAGTAAAAGTATGGAGTATGATACAATAAAACTGCTCCTTAAGATCTTTTATTTTCTCCAAATATTATTTTACAAGTAAAAGTAACTGAGTAGATTTAACTATTTATGACCCACCTCTGGATTTGTTACCATATTATTTAAAATATTCTCAATGTGCCTTTTATTTATATTAACGTGAACGCACAACTGTCCAACTGTTGTTTATTTTTTATTTTTTTGTATTGCTTTCATGTTTCCTGTTTTTTCCAGTGTTTTATTTTACATTTTTGCAAATCGACATTGTGGTAAGAAATAAAAACACGGTATAAACTTTCATTTAGAATTTCATTGTTGATAGTCTTTTAATCCTGTTTTAATGTTGTAATTGACACAATTCTGGTCTCTAATATTTATGTTTGTCTCCTACCAAGTCAGTCTTAATAAATCGAATCGGTTTTTTTCCTGACAGATACATTTAAGAGGCCCTCTTTTCATGCAAAATACCCTCTTTAAATAGATCTCCCTCTAAGGAAGATATACCAATACTATCATAGATGATCTCAAAGTAAATATATTGAAATAAAAATCTACTTTCATTTAGATTAGCAAACTATTTTCAAACTGGACTCTCATTTTCCCCTTTTAAAATAATATGAGAAATGCTTTAATTCCTTTTTCTGATAAAGTAGATTATATTTAATAAATAGTATTCAACAAAAAAAAAAAATCAGAGTAACACACACAGGTCTGACTAACAGGTTTGCACACTGGCCTGCATACAGGAAGCTGTCAGTTTGCGCTGCAGTGTGCTGAAAAGGATCAGGATCCTCTGTCAGCTTCCACACCTGCATCAAACTAGAGGAAACTGAATCTGTGGAAATTCAATATCCAGCCTGTAACCAAGCTCCCAGCGGTTAGGCCAGGGAGGGGACCTGAGGCGAGAGCTAAACATCTACATTTCAAAATCTCCTTCCTTTCTGTTCAGTTAAAAAGGTTACAAACACCTTCTTATATACTGATACTCTAAAAAACTGTTCATTCAAGTCTCATTCAGTAGCTGAGTAAAGTATGGTGTCATCTGCATAGTGCTGCATTTAACTCTAGATATTTTTCACCCACTACTATTAAGAAAAGAAGGAAATAAAACAAGGCCTAAGATTCAGCCCTGGGGGGGATTCCTACCAAACATCCAGGGGCTGAAATAGACTCCACCCCCAACCCGCCACCGCCATGGTTCCTCTTAAATTTGACCAGGAAGTAATTCCTACCCTCAGTAGTTTTCAATGTTTAAGCCTTTTTTAATCTTATTGGGTCAACATAAAAAAAAAATTAGGGTTCATTTTTCAAAATCTTTGAATCTTCTCTAGTTTATTTACAAACTGTTTTAGGTTGAAATAATTATGACTGTGTGACGTTATCATCTAAACCTCAGAAGAATATCAAAACAAATCTTTCGACGTAGACATTAGACTTGGTTTGTCCCACTGCAGCAATTCAGAACAGCTTGTTTAGTCTTAGAATATTTCCATTTTTTGGACATTCCTGCAGTAAAGTTTCCAGGAAACATTTTGAGCTTCAGTTGGTTTATTTTTCTACCATTTTCTGCCCCAGAGGAGGAGCCTCCACCTCTCTAATCCTGATAATGATGTTTAACCTTCTTGTTGTTTTGGAATGAGTTGTAATTAACATTTTTTTATTTCATCAAAGGATGTGCATGTACAGTAAAAAAAAAAAAGAATGCTTATATAAATATTTAGAGTCCATTATGGGGTGTTTGACCAGTTCTGTCCTGATGATTTGTTAACAGCATCCAGCGAGCCGCCGCCTGGGTGTTGGACCGGTATTACAGCGACTTCTCCGTCTACAACCCTGCCGTGGTCAACCTTCCCAAGTCTATCCTGTCGAAGAAGATGACCGGGTTCAAGGTTTACTCCCTGGATGGTGAGTGTGATGACACACTATCAGTAACCCTCTGAGGTAGCTTCCACCTCATTCTAGGGGTGGTTCCTGCACCGAGGACGTTATTCCCCTTTTGTATGAACAGCAGATGAAAACCTGTCATGCAAACCTCTAAATCCTCCCTCTGCATGTGTCGTCTTGCAGAAAACCCTACCAATAACTCAACGGGCCAATCGCGGGCCATGATCGCAGCGGCTGCCAGGAGAAGGGACAACTCCCACAACGAGTATTACTACGAGGAGGCTGAGATGGAGCGCAGGATTCGCAAGCGCAAGGCCAGGTGGGGTATGGGGCGAGGCACAGATTCACTGAAAACGAACCAAAAGATATTCTGTTCTGTTTCCTGATTAAAGTAACGGGCAAGTAGTGACGGGAGAGTAATCATGGCGGCTGTGGATATCATTAAGGTCTTTCGCTCATGTAAACTCTGACAATCTGACTTAAGCCTTCATTTAAGTGATTCATGGTTGTCCTGTTCTCACATGTTCCGGCCGCTGTAAAAATCAGACGGTTTTGAAGGCCAAACATTTTGGTTTGATTTGTTTTATTAGCGCAAAGCTTGATTAATTGTCCGTCTGCCGCCTCAAAGAAGCAGAACAAACTTATTGCCCAACAGTCCTGAATGAAAAGTTCTTTTTTTTTTTGTTTCATGCAGACTGTTTGTTTAGAGCTATGGTATTGTTTTAAGAGGAACTCATAGTTTCAGTTTGGCTCACCTTAGATGAACTGTTTAACTTGCATATCCCTGCTTCATTGCCTGATTTTGCAACTTTTACTAAAGTACCACTAAACCAACAGCAGTATAACACCCAGCATGTAAACACAGCTATCTGGAATTCAGTTTTAGTATAAAAACAGCTCAGCACAGCTCAGTTTGTTTAAAAAAAAAAAAAACATTAAGGAACAGTGATCAGAGCAGCTAAAAGGGCTAATGGTCACACTAGAGGAGCTACAGAGAGCCACAGCTCAGGTGGGATGGTCTATGAACAGAGAAAAACAATAATTCAGGCTTTCCAGTCCAACAATGAGCCCAAACATACCGCCAGAGCTACAATGGTTTACAAGAATATATATATATATTCCTGTTAGAAGGACTTGGTCAAGGTTCCGACCTAAATACAACTGCAGCAGCGATGAAACAGTTAATAACTGATGTTCTCAGATGCTTTTGGTCTGATCTGATTGAGCTTGCACTGTAAAAAAGTATTTTTGTTAAAATAAGTGCATCTTTTCTTGAATTGAGGAGGTAAGTGAGACACTTTGCCAATAGAACAAGACAATTTATATTTAAAATAAGAAAAACAATTGCATTGTCTTATTTCAAGTGCATATTATCTGATTATCTTATTTTAAGAGTAAAGATACTAATTTCATTGGCAAATCATCTTATCTACCTACTCAAATTTAGGGTAAATACACTTAATTTAAGACATTTTTACTTATTACTAGATCGTTTTTGCAATGTGAGCTGTTCTGCAAAGCGAACAAATGCTGATGAGACCACAAGCCACTCAAGATTTTTGTTAGCCTCTTGTAACGGACAACAGGGCAGACACACTGGAATACTAATGCTGAGCCTTCGAGATCAACAGAAAGGGTTAAAACATAAAAAAAAAAAAAATGTATATATATAAAAAATATAACCATAAATGGAAAATTAAAAGATTATATATATATTTATATATTTTATGGGGAGGTGTTGGTCTGCCCCTGATTGCTCCTCTGGTGCCACACAGTGGCAGCCCACTGCTCCCCAAGGGGATGGGTTTCAGGGGTGTAAAACTGGTTCCAGAAAGTGACGTGTGGCTGCAGGTTTTCTTTCCAACCAAGCAATAGCACACCAGACTCCAGTCATCTCATCAAATCATCATGTTCAGATTGGACTCACTTGATGAGATGACTGGAGTCTGGTGTGCTATTGCTTGGTTGGAAAGAAAACCTGCAGCCACACGTCACTTTCTGGAACCAGTTTGACACCTGTGGGTTAAATGCAGAGGTAAATTTCTCCAGTGTGAAATCAATAAAGTTCAATTATACATTATGTATATCTGTTTAAGCATATAAAAATGTAAAAAGTGTGGATGTGCTGTGCAAGAGGTGGTGTCTGCAGAGTAATAAATATGATTGAATAATAATAAACAGATGGGGGTGTGTCACATACACTTAACAAAAGTATAAACGCATCACTTGTGGTTTTGCTCCCATTTTTTATGAGATAAACTCAAAGATCTAAAACTTTTTCCACATGCATAATATAATAATTTCCCTCAAATATTGTTTACAAACCAGTCTAAGGCTCTGTTTGAAATCCTGGGCTGCATCCTCCAAGGACACACTCTACCTAGACTGGATCCTTTGAAGTCCTTGAAAATAAGGAGACCGGAAGAGTTTGGGCTGTGAATCCGAACAGGTCTACCCTTTAGCAGGTTTTACCACCGTAAGCTCTGTTGCTTAGCAACCGTGAAAGTTGACACACAAAGCAGGAAAAGAATGAAAACCAAAGTTTTTAAAACTGTTTGTTTGTTTATTTATTTATTTATTTATTTATTTATTTATTTATTTATTTATTTATTTATTATTATAAAGTAAACAAAGACTACACTCACAAGAATCCAGAGTGGAATAAATGTTTCACCCACCGGGAACAACTAAAATCAAATGTAATGATAGAAACCTTAGTCAGTTAAATAACCTGCTGCTGTCATTCTGCACATCTCTGATGTTGCTGCTATTTTCAAATATCCATTACTGTAAAAATGTCCATAGCTGCATATTGGTTATTTATTCTCCAGTTTTATATTGTTAAAACACTCAACAGAGTTGTATTTTTTATATTTTAACTGTTCCCTATTATGTTATTCTTATACATTTTTCTAAGGCCCTCATTTGTGTGACTATTTTCAATAATCTTTCTGCTGCTGTAAATTTGCCCATTGTGGGACAATAAAGGGATTTTCTATTCTATTCTATAAAAGGGTTAGAAATATATGAGTAAATCTAAACAATGTATGTATAAAAATATATCTGCAAAATCTCTAATATTTACCAACAAAAAGTAATTAGTTAAGCATATTGTGCAAAACAGCAATAAAAAAACTTAAACTCCTATCAGATTTATAGTTCCCACTCTGCAGATCTATTAGAATCTGTCCTTTAATTCCAGCCAAACCCATTTACACAATAACAGATAAAAACCTTTAGATAAATTAAACATTACCGCCACATATCTGACTCAATAACCATTAAAACAACTATTTTAATTCATTTCAGACGAAGCTTTTCACAGACTTGGGTTATATAAACTGAACTTCCAATTTTCACCACTGTTCGGCGCCAAGTAACCTTCCCTCTGATCACGGAGCAGCCGGCTTTCTTGGTTCGCAATGAATCCTGGGATATCCAAGGGTAGCCAGGATACATCGGACCCGTCCTTCAAATCAGGCAAAAAGAAGGACGCATTTTAAGGCCGCATAACGAGGACTCTTGGAATCCGACCAGACCTCGGCGCCGCGCTATGACGTAATCATCCTTTGAATCCGTCCTTCTAAGGACACGTCCTAGGTTTTCGAACAGAGCATAAATCTGTGAAAGTGAGCACCTCTCCTTTCCTGAGATAATCCATCCCACCTCACAGGTGTTCTATATCAAGATGCTGATTAGATGCCATGATTAGTGCACAGGCGTGTCTTAGGCTAAAATCACCCTGCAGGCCTTCATGCTCAATTCTGATTTTTTTTTTGTAAAATCCGATTTCTTTTGCGGTTATTTTATTTTTTTCAAAAAGCCAGTCAGTATCTGGTGTGGCCACCACTTGGAAAACCAGCAAAACCAAAAATGTTGCTTTTATATTTTTGTTGAGTGTATATATCATTATGTGAACATGTGACCCTGCAGTAACAGTGATGGGTGAAACTGCAGCAGGAGGCCAAATTACATAATATTACCTTGAGCTCTTTAAAGGGATAAAAAAAGGGCAAGATTTTTCAGATTTGTTTGAGCCAAAATAATTTTGAAAATGTATCAAATTGATGTTATTTTTTTCAAACTGTTGGGTTTTTTTCTTGGTAAAGAAGGTAAATTGGAAATTGATCATTTGATGCACCATGTTTCTCCTACACTGTTAACATTTTGATCACTGCTGCACTTTATAAATGGAAATTTCTCCCCGGGCGCCCCACAGTTGCAGCCCACTGCTCCCCAAAGGGGATGGGTTAAATGCAGAAGTAAATTCTCCAATGTGAGATCAATAAAGTCCAGTAAAAAAAAAAGTTAATTTCACTGCTGAGCTGCTCATTCACTGTTGAAAAGCTTATGCATCGAAATTTAGTTTTGTATAAACTCTGTGTATACAAAATGACAACGTAAGTCTAAATTGATAGGGTAGCCTATTTTTTCCTCAAACAGCTCTCTTATATGACGGACAGTTAATGACTGCTCACAAATCTTTTAATACTGATATTTACCCATTTAATTAAAATCTATTCTATAACCTCAAATGTCTTTTGCATCACTTCAGCTTCCAGGAATGATCCCCAGCAATAGACGCCCTATGTTGCTTTCAATGTTTTTATTTGTTACATTACTAGTTAACCGTTGTCATGCTCTTCCACGAGTCTGTAAGTTATTCTTGATTTTTTTTTGGGTCTGGTGCAGGCTGGTTGTAGCGGTAGAAGAGGCCTTCACGCACATCAAACGCCTCCATGAGGATGAAGTGGCCTCGTCTCCTAAACACCCCAGAGAGGTGATGGACCCTAGAGAGGCCGCCCAGGCCATCTTCGCTCCGATGGCCCGGGCCATGCAGAAGTACCTTAGGACGACGAGGCAGCAGGCCTTCCACAGCATGGAGAGCATCCTCACACACCTGCAGTTCTGCATCACTCACAACATGACGCCCAAGGTGAGTTTAACATCTTTCTAATGAACTAGTTGCTTAGAATAACCTACATGTTTTAGCTTTAGTGTCCAGTGATGTGGAAGCTTAACTGGAATCTCTTCAGCACTTTGAAGAGAACTTGCCTGGAGCCAGACTTCCTGGCTCTTGAACAATTTTCCTTGGACCTTAGCTGCTATATAAGCCAAGATAAATAAGATAATCAATAAACATGATCTTGATCAATAAAAAAAAATCTAAAAATTAAAATGGGTTAAAAGATAAAGCTTAAACTAATGGTGTGAAGTTCCATAAATAATGCAGAGTATCTGCTATCTAAGTGCTTCCTGTCACACTGGTGCATTCCAGACCCTGTGATGGACTCCAGGCCTTTTCCTCTTGGAAAATGACAACATAGATCATGTACTGGTATTTCCAAACCAACTTTATATCCTTACTGCTAATTAATAATACACAGTGTAAAAAATGATAGGGGCCTTAGAGTTTTGTGATCTTTTGAGCAGGACTTTAATCACCAAGTGGAGTGCACCATGGAGACTATTGTGTTTATGAACTAATTCAATGGTTTGTTACTTTGGTGTTAAAACTTTAAAGAAAACATGAAAATAAAACCTTTTGATTAATCGGTTATAGTTGTTGCATCTCTGCGTGTAAATTGTGGGTGCATGTTGATGAGATAGTGATTAGTGTTTGTTTTATGTTTTTACAGGCAGTAAGTACCCTAAGTAACCTTAGTCCTTAGCATCCTACTGTCAAGATGGATCCTATAGAGCTTGGAAATGCCTCTACGGCTAAAGAAATGTTGTCTTTTCTGTACTTAATGCCTCGTCTTTCCTTTCTTTATTTTCTTGTCCATTTATTCTACATCTCTCTCTCCTATGCCCTTCCCTTTTCCTTCCTTGCTTCCTTTTTCACACACCTTCATTGTGTCCATCCTCTCTCATTTCCTCTTTTTCTTTTATCTTTCTTGTTTCCCTCATCATGTCTCTCCATCCTGGCTTTTATTCTCTCTACCATAGATGTGTCCTGTCTCCTTTCGTGTTTGCTATCTCCTTTTCTGTCCCTCCATCTCTCCTTGAATTGTGCCTCCATTTTTCTTCCATCCCCTACCTTGTCTTTTATTCTTCATTTTTGTCCCTCTTTTTTTCCATTCCTTACTTCTTTCCTTTTGTCCCCCTCTTTTTCTCCTACCTGCCTTTTCTTTTTGTTCTACTCCTGTGGCCTCCCTCCTTCCCATTGTCAGGTTTTCTGGTCCCGTCACTAGGCCTGCTTGCTGTAAACACAGTATCTACCTCGAATTCATAGTAAATATTATTGAGTAATCAGAAAGTTGAGGACTAAAGAGGCTGGAAAAGTGTGCAGACATTAACCTTAAATATTCAGATAAGTTGAACAGATAAGTTGAATAAAGATTAAATATGAGTTTGATCTTTCTCTTTCTCTCTCTGTCAGGCTTTCCTAGAGCGATACCTCACCCCCGGCCCCACCATGCAGTACCAGCAGCAAAACGGCAGGGGGCGCCAGTGGACCTTGGTAAGCGAGGAGCCTGTCACCTCGGGCCTTCGACAGGGTCTGGTCTTCTCCCTGCGGCGCTCGGACTTCTCCTTGGTCGTCACGGTAACACCGCTTCCTTTCCTGCGGCTGGGGGAGGAATTCATCGATCCAAAGAGCCACAAGTTCGTCATGCGGCTGCAGTCGGAGACCTCGGTGTGAGGGCGGCTGATGGATCTTCTTTCTTTCCGTCCTGCAGCTCGCTCCACCTGGATGTGACGGGACACCCTGTCATCCAGTCATTCCTTTCCTCCTCTCTGACAGAACCTAATCAAAGGGAGGAGAGCAGCTTTTCTGATCATCAAACTGTTATCGGCTCAATGATTGTCCCGACCCCCCCAAAAAATGAGCAGATGCCTTTTCACCACCAGTGTTTCCTTTTCAAGAACATTTGACTTGTTTTACTGTAACCACTGAGGATATAGAGGTGCAATGACTCGACACACGAACGCAGGAGGAAGGAGGCGATTACATCACAGCTGTCACTTCCCCTCTCTCTCTCTGTCTCTGTTTCATCGCTGGTGGTGATGTTTTCTCTGACGGACCTGCTTTTATATGAGAGCGAGGGGATTTTTATTGCTTTAACCTACAGAATGTAGCATTATGTGCTCTGATTGTTTTTTTTTTTTTTTGTAACAATGCAGCCTTTTTTTAAATTTCCCCCCCTGCACCGGTTTAAGCTCTGAGCGAGAACATTTTCAGCAGGAGTTTCCCTGCAGTTTTGATGCATGTTTAGATGCACAAGTCTGGCAGTGATCCAAATCTTCTAATTGCCAACAAATCCAGTGAGATGACTTGGAAATAACCAAATCCATTTACAGTTAGAGTTTAAATTAAATGGTTCGTTTTGCCTTGATATGACTAAAGGCTATTTAAAGCTGATGATCATCCCTCAATAGTATCGCCGTCTGTATGATGCTGTAGGTCAAACGTGTCTAAAATAAACCAAACCCTCTGACTCAATGCATTTATTTAAACTCTTTTAGGCTAAATGCAAGATTTTCATTAACTGTCTTTAGCCATAATGGGCTAAAATTGGACAATGGCACACCTTTAATAAACACATGATGGTTTTGGTGCTCAGCTTTCGGGATTTGTTGGCAATAAATCAAAAATTTGAGAAACAAAATGCACACAGTGTCTGCAGCTTGATGTGGACACAAACAATTAAACCTCGTTTTTGTTTTGTTTTTCCAGGTGGTAAAATGAGCATCAATATCAGGGTCTTACTGTGTTGTGCTTAAGCTGTAAAACTAAATTCAGCTGCAGTATTTCGGGTTTAATCAAGTTTAAAACGCGGAAACATACAGGATATGATTCAAGTGTGAAATATGGTTTATATTTATGGCAGCGGTTGGGTGGTCAAGACTCACAGACTCTGCTGTTTGCAGATCTCCATCCAACGCCTGATTTCCTGACCTTTCGCCAGGACACTAACTGGAACAAACATTTTCACATTGATTAGATCTCAAAAAGCTATTTTTAATCAGCGTTTCTAAGACCTTAAATATAGTAAAGTATGATGAAGTTATGTGGAAAAGCTAAATGCTGACTGCACATTATTTAATCATTATCCCATTTTTTTCTCATTATTAAACATAAACTCTAACTGGTACCGTAGTTAAAAAACTTTCTTATTTTAGCCATGTTTGTAAATTTTTAGCTGCATTTTATCTTCAAAGATGCTAAAACTGACCAAATTTAACATTGAAAGAGCTTCAACTGGCGTAAAAAATACAAAATCAGAAATAAAGCGATCATGATGAGGAAGAAACACGCCTGATGAAAATGAAACGCCATCGTATGGTGGAATTTTTTGCCAATAGAAAGTTATCAGTCGTTTCATTTTTGAAGGCATTCGAAACCTTTTGGTTTTTACCTAAAAGGAAATAATCTAATTAGAGATGATCTTATCTTGGTGTAGTACGTCTTAAGTGGGGTCACAACACTTCCTTTAGATGAAATCGTTCTACATGAAGCCGTTTTTTAACAAAATGGAGAATATTTCTTTTTCATTTTTGAAGCAAAAAATGATTTCTGCCTCAAAGCAGACATAGGACTGTAAATCGTCTGACCACCGCCTCGCCTTGCGCCGCTCTAGACGAACCCTTATTCTGCCTTTTTCTCTGCAGACCTGGAGGATCCGCAGCCATCGGCTCCTCCATCGGCTCAGCTACAGTCTGTTTGCCTTTCTAAGTCCAGATTTCTTTTATTTTTTAAACCCTCTCACAAACTCTGAAGTGTTTGACGTTAAATACGAACAAACGCTTTTTTTTTTTTTAAGAAAGCATGCAAAAAATATTTTTGGGCTCCATTTTTTTTATTTTAAAAGAACTTAACTTTTGTATCATTTGAAGGTGCCTAAGTTATGACGATGCAATTTTCTGAATGTTTTTATTTGTAAAGACAAAAAAATGTAGATTTGTGTTTTCTTTTTTTGGTAACAGTAGCTTGTAAAGTGTTTTAGACATTTTTCTATCATTAAACCATGTATTCCTAATAAACCTTGTCTTTGGTACCCATTTCTGAGCGGCTCAGGCCAGATTGTTTAACTTCAGTTGTTTTTTTTTTTCGAGTGTTGCTGCAGAAAATATCTTCTCTCAGGAATTTCACATTAAAGAAGACAGTTGCTTACAAAGAGTTTAAAGAGGAACTTCTGTGAGGGGAAGATGGCTGATGTGGTAGGCGTGTGGTTTCATAGCTTCAAAACGGACAGAGAGCCCTTCACTTCCTGCTCTCAGTCACTCGCTGATACTCTTCAGACACTTTGACGTTTCTCAGACAGTCGACGAAAGGAGAACCATTTCTTTGCTCTTCTCCGGTGAGTTCCAGCCCTCTCTTCATCCATCTTCATCTTCTGATGCATGGTAAAGTTTCGCATTAGGAGTTGTTTATATATCTGTTGATGGCAGCTGATGATGATATCTCGTTGTGCGCTGTGTGTACGCATACAGAGCCAGCTGGAGACATGGTCGTCTGTTACATCCTGGATGGGGTGCTGATCCTGTACGGCATCATTCTAACCATCCTTTACTGCCGACTGAGGGTAAGACGTGAAAACGCTCTGAAGTTTGGCTCCGATTTTACTCCTTCAGCTCACTTTTTACAGCGGAATAAGGAGGTTTAACTGCAAACAGAACTACTTTGGAAGAAAAAGCAGCTAATTGTGCTTGTTTCTTGTGGAAAAAGTACATTTTCCTCTTTCTGCTTCATTTATTTAACAGATGCGTCCATCCAACAACATTGCCGATTACCCCGAGGTAAATATGAAGCTACCTGTCTGTGTTTTTTAGAACAAACCCAATCATGGTGGCGTTATCTATGCAACTCCATGGTCTGGCATTGTTAGGTGCCATTTTACCCTCGAAATGTCGTAGTTCTTAAAAACCAGCCTCAATCAATCATTTCCTGTAAACTCAAGCTGACCACCGACCTACATTATTTATTTTCACACTCAGAGTTTCCACTGGTGGCTCTAGTGTTAAATCCTGCTTCCTGCTTGTTTCCTCACAACTTGTTTCCTTTCAAATGCAATTAAAACAAAAACAAACTTATTTTTCCTCCGAATAAAGGAAATCTAGCTGTTCAGTGTGTTTATATCTAAATGACTCGGCTACTGAGGTGATGATCTGTGTTTCCGTCCCACAGAAGCAGTCCGCAGGTGGAGGCATCTATGCGGTGAGACTTCTTATTCTTAAGCTTAAAAAGACTTTAAAAAAGGCAGATGAGAGAAAAGTGGCAGCCTATCTCATGTCAGCGGGTCTTTTTTCCCCTTGTTTTGGTTTTTATAGGACAGGCATCAGGCTGTCACTAGTTTACACCCTGACTAGCAGCAAGAAGTACTAATAGAAAAACCTTGTTTAAATATTCTCATTTTTAGTGTATTTGTTTGTGTCCTGCAGGGTCTGACGTCCAAAACCAGTGACACCTACGAGACCATCAACATGAGCAAAAAGCCCATTGTGTAATTTGCACCATTTCAGTAAAATCAGGACGCCGAGCTGAAAAATATGGCTTTGTGCTCTAGTCTCCGTATAGTCACTTTTTGAGACTCTTGTTTACTTTTTCACCTTTTGTAAAATATTCCTTCTCTGTTTCTGCACAAAACTAGTAAAGTTATTTAACAAGTGATGATTAAATTAGTGCCTGGTGATTTCCTTATTGTTTTCTTTACTCTGTGCTTGTCAGCTAATTTTATTCAGGTTGCAAAACACAAAAGAAAAGCAGAAGTCGGGAAACATTTGTTTCTGCTCGCTTTAGAATCTTAAAGTTTTTTCATCTTCATTCACAGCGATTCGTGTGCGATCTTATTATTCATGTTTTTAATTTATTTATCAGAGCATCAATGTGTTATTTTAGCATTTTTAAGCAGAGAAAACGTTATAAAAGATATAATTTTTTTTGATTGGCATAAATATTTATTTTAAATCTTTTTAAAGTCCATCAGTTTTGTTTGTCATTTCCCCCCCTTTTTTTTAAAGTATGTATTTCTTAATTATTTTGATCTAAGCTCTACTTTTAAGCTCTGCTTTCCATGACTTTCTATGTTTTTCCCCGTTGGAAAAAATCGAAATCTACATAAGTCATTTTTTCTTAAAATAAGTGCATTTGTTCTTGGATTCAGAAGGTAACAGAGACATTTTGCCAATGGAGCAAGACAATTTACACTTAAAATAAGAAAACACAATTGCATTGTCTAATTTGAAGCGCATATTATCTAATTATCTTATTTTAAGAGTAAAAATACTAATTCCATTGGCAAACTATCTCATTTACCTATCAAATTAAGGGTAAATACACTTTTACAATTTTACTTATTTCTAGATCATTTTTCCAGTGCTGACATGGTGCCTGTTTTTTTTTTAAAGCAGATGTGTGTTAGGCGGTTTTCCACAATGGGGTAATATTTTACAATGACCCTAAAATTAATAATTTTTTCTGGTGGAGTTTTTGCACAACTTGCTGTTTTTCGAACAGGGAACTTAACGGTATTATTCACAAGGTTTTTTTTTTTTTTTCATTGTATTTTTAGGCTCTAGTGGCCTTTACCTTTTTTCCTTATTTCCGTATTTTCAAAAGTATAGAAACTTTGGGTTGGAAGACAGGGGAGAGACATTTGGCAAAGGTCAGCAATGCCGGGACATGAACCAGCGACAGCCGGAAATATCGGTCATGAGCTCTACCTCCACGTCATGGCAGCATCCTCACCTGAGGTGCTGAAATGTCCTCCTTGAATCAGAATTTGTATTTAGACGGTCCTCCTCACATCATGCTGAATAGTTTTTAGGCTTAGTGGCCTTTAGCTGTTGTTTTTGAAAGTAGACAGACAGGAAATGGGATTGCAGTGAGGGGGAGGACTAAAGGGGGAGGACTAAAAGGCCTCCATAGATGCGCGGTGCCTCCACAGCGCCCATCACATTATGACATCATGAGACCAAAATTACTTTTAACAATTCATCAGCAGTACCTTGTCATTGCAAGGCAACAAACAGGATGTTCTTATAAGGAAGCAGCCATTGAGCTTAGCGTGTCATCGACAGGTTGCAACAGAGACTGAAATAGTACAAGAAGGCAGAAGTGGACGGCTCGTCCCATGTTGGTGACTGTGTCATTGTGAGCAGAGCCCCTGAATGGTCCTCTGTGCCCCGGTGTGAACAGTACAGGTCTTTATTGATCTTCATGGAGCACAATACTCCAGCTCATCCAAGTCATTAGGGGAATAAAATGACACTTTCTCCTAGGAGATCAGTCCTGCTCCTGTCCAGAATAACCGTGTCCCAGAGCCGAGAGTGATTTGAAGGCCCACCTTTAAAGGAGAGCAGGATGCCGTACCTCCACAGATGAGAAGTAGACTTATGGACAACATGTGTCATCGTTGTATAAATGTAGTTTGAATTAAAGATCACATGACACATTAATAAAACAATGGTAGTGGTCCAATCACCGCTGCTGCTGGCTTTAGTTTCAACAAATTGTCCGAGATTAGGAAATCCCTTTAGCCTGCTTCTACTGAAATGGCTCAATTTTAGGATATTATGTCACTGTAATGAAAAAGTTTTACAATGCTCATAAACTTCTACCGAGAGTTAAACATCACCCGGTTTTGTGACTTCTTTTTATAGATAGATAGATAGATAGATAGATAGATAGATAGATAGATAGATAGATAGATAGATAGATAGATAGTCCGTCTATAAATTTTTAGTTCTGTTGAAAACAGACAAACTAACCCCAATGAAAATGTAACCTTCTTGGCAGAGGTAATATTATACTACTCAGAATATGGAATTAGTCAAAATATGTTATATTTTTTCAAGAAAACCTGGATTTTTATCAATAAAACAAGTTGTGTGTTTCATTAAGTACCTCCCACAGGTAGGTGTGGCTTGATGGGCATTTATTAAACTGGAAAAATGAGATAGTTTGCCAATGGTTTGAGTATTTTTACTCCTAAAATAATAGAATTGGATAACATCCACTTGAAATAAGACAATGCAATTATGTTTTCTTATTTTAAGTGTAAATTATCTTGTTCCATTGGCAAAATGACTCTTTTTACCTACTCAATCCAAGAACAATTGCACTTATTTTAAGAAAAAATTTACTTATCTAGATTATGATTTTTCCAGTGTACCCACTACCTCTGGCATAGCTTTGATTTGGGTCCTTGTATTGTAGGACCAAAGTGGCTCCAATGATGCGCCGTCCACAGGGTACTGTTAGGTTTTACTGAACAGAGCGATATAGCGAACATAGCCTTACTCTTCATTTTTACCCTGAACAATCTCCACCTTCAGCGACACCAAAGTGTACCCAGACCATCATGTTTCCTCCACCATGTTTAATGGATGTGTTCAAAAGCTCCTCCAGCATCTTTCTATTTGTTCTGCATCTCTCAAATAACCATAAAACCTTATTCCATTCCTCTGTCCAGTTATGAGTTGAAGCCCCAGATACCCAGAAAACCACAAGTAGAACAGATTTCACTTACGCTAACATGATTGCGTAATATTTTTGAAATGAGCAAATGGCCTTGAGGTTTTCCCACCTGAACGCAGGAGTGATGCTGCCTTAAAGTGTAGCTCTGTATAGCTATGAAGATATTCCAATAAATAATTTAATTTATATTTTAACAGCAGAATATTTAAGTATTCACAGAAAAACTACATTTTCAACTGATCTCAAACTTTTCAGCTGTATGGTGTATAGCAAAAAACAAAAACAAAACTTGAACTGCTCCGGTTTTTGCACAGATCTTATAATTAGGGACAAACTATTCCAGAGACTAGAGGCTGCAACAGATTTACACAATAGTCCGAAGAAGACCTCATCATTATTTTTGAAGGGTGGCCACCATTTATTAACTTAAAAACGCAAAGTAAAAATTTGTATTGGATCCTGAACATAATATATATATATATATATATATACACTATATTGCCAAAAGTATTTGCTCACCTGCCTTGACTCACATATGAGCTTAAGTGACATCCCGTTCCTAATCCATAGGGTTCAATATGACGTCGGTCCACCCTTTGCAGCTAGAACAGCTTCAACTCTTCTGGGAAGGCTGTCCACAAGGTTTAGGAGTGTGTTTATGGGAATTTTTGACCATTCTTCCAGAAGCGCATTTGTGAGGTCGCACACTGATGTTGGACGAGAAGGCCTGGCTCTCAGTCTCCGCTCTAATTCATCCCAAAGGTGTTCTATCGGGTTGAGGTCAGGACTCTGTGCAGGCCAGTCAAGTTCATCCACACCAGACTCTGTCATCCATGTCTTTATGGACCTTGCTTTGTGCACTGGTGCACAGTCATGTTGGAAGAGGAAGGGGCCAGCTCCAAACTGTTCCCACAAAGTTGGGAGCATGGAATTGTCCAAAATGTCTTGGTATGCTGAAGCATTCAGAGTTCCTTTCACTGGAACTAAGGGGCCAAGCCCAGCTCCTGAAAAACAACCCCACACCATAATCCCCCCTCCACCAAACTTTACACTTGGCACAATGCAGTCAGACAAGTACCGTTCTCCTGGCAACCGCCAAACCCAGACCCGTCCATCAGATTGCCAGATGGAGAAGCGCGATTCGTCACTCCAGAGAACGCGTCTCCACTGCTCTAGAGTCCAGTGGCGGCGTGCTTTACACCACCGCATCCGACGCTTTGCATTGCACTTGGTGATGTATGGCTTGGATGCAGCTGCTCGACCATGGAAACCCATTCCATGAAGCTCTCTGCGCACTGTTCTTGAGCTAATCTGAAGGCCACATGAAGTTTGGAGGTCTGTAGTGATTGACTCTGCAGAAAGTTGGCGACCTCTTCGCACTATGCGCTTCAGCATCCGCTGACCCCGCTCCGTCAGTTTACGTGGCCTACCACTTCGTGGCTGAGTTGCTGTCGTTCCCAAACACTTCCATTTTCTTATAATACAGCTGACAGTTGACTGTGGAATATTTAGGAGCGAGGAAATTTCACGACTGGATTTGTTGCACAGGTGGCATCCTATCACAGTTCCACGCTGGAATTCACTGAGCTCCTGAGAGCGACCCATTCTTTCACAAATGTTTGTAAAAACAGTCTGCATGCCTAGGTGCTTGAATTTATACACCTGTGGCCATGGAAGTGATTGGAACACCTGATTCCAATAATTTGGATGGGTGAGCAAATACTTTTGGCAATATAGTGTATATGCACGTTGATAAAACTGTTGTTTGATGACTTGAATCTGATCTAAGTAATAATAAAGAAAAATTCTTTAAATAATTATGAATGAAAGTATAAAACATGCTTCAACAAACTTATAAAGTTTATTTATATATGTATTTATATACATATATAAATATATATATATATACATATATATATGTATGTATGTGTATATATATATATATATATATACACATACATACATACATATATATATATATATATACACATACATACATACATATATATATATATATATACACATACATACATATATATATATATATATATATATATATATACACATACATACATATATATATATATATATACACATACATACATACATATATATATATATATATACACATACATACATATATATATATATATATATATATACACATACATACATATATATATATATATATGTATGTATGTGTATATATATATA